GGGGAGTAACCTCAGTGACTGAAAGAACAAAAGTGCTCGTTTGCGCGTGATACATAAAAGACCTGACCTTTCACACATAACACATCAGGATTTAACAAAAATGAGCGGCTCAGACCTCACACATGTAAAAGTGACATAGAAGTCACATTAAAGACACATCACAGTTTTACTCTCAGTTCATCAGTGGCTAGTCAAAAGCACACTAGGTAAATGGGGAGGTCTGAAGTGAACTGATATTTGGCAACATTCCAGACCACGACTTTTAGTGCAGCATGATAGTCTCAATTGCGTAAGGAAAATGCGCAGTCGACAACAAGATCTTTCAATTTTCCCACGCACCAATCGATTTTGTGCGCCGATCAAGCAACTGATGCCCGGATTGATAGGGGTAAACTGGAGTAATACAATAACAGTGACACCCAGATCAATTTAGCGTTGTGGTCAACCGCGAAAAACAAACAATCTGACGGCTTATTTACTATAAATGTAAAGATAGGAGGATTTTCTACGAAACTGCGACAAAAATGTGAATGTGAATACGGTACACGCGTGAATGTAAACAAAAAGTAAGTTAACCATACTTACATAGAGGTTACTCCAGCAAACGTTTTTGCCTTTTCCTTTTAAATGTCAGCATATTAAAAGCAGACTTGAATAGCACCGAGTGTTGTCTAGTTACTTATGCACGTATTTTGATTTAAATATCATCGTTCTATGTCTGTTTTTGTTTCTTTTCGGGAACGCATCGTAAATGTTTTACATTGGTGACTTAATTTGGGTTATTGACTTCTGCGAATCACTATCAACAAAAATTCCTAATACAGGTTGATCAGCCCGCTGTTCCCTCATACTGCGGCGCATTTCTAATAGAACTATGAATCAGTCCGCTACCCCGCCCTCAGATATGTCTTGCTGCGGTACCTTATGTCATCTGCGTTCCAAGCCCATCTCAGTAGATTGTATATAGTAGGCGTTGACTGTCAGTTCCTTAGGTTAACCACTGATCTTTTGCTAGGCAGTCAACTTACAAGTAATTGGAATTAGACCACTTGAAGTTTATTCTCTGTCGAATCTAAAACAATTAGAATTTTTACGTCGCACGATGCGAATCAACACGAATATCTGAAGTTTGAATCAGTATGTTTCAATTTTTTTGATGCAACAGACCTCTGATAGACTTATTGCATTGTGTAAGATATTAATAAGTGAGAGGTTGCAGACGAATACAGAAAATAATTAAAGTCCAGCAAACTCACAGCTCGGTGGGAAATAGTAGCCAATAGAGCCTTGCTAGCGCATATTTGCATGAAAAGTCAGAACCAGACAAC